AAAAAAAAAAAGAAAAAACAAAGAGAAGGAAAAAACTCAGATACATTATGCGCTTGAGACTACTAATCGTGCAGATTAGTTGTGATGTGTGATAAGTGTGTGATAAGCTAAAGTTGCTATGGTCGATGGAGGTAAGTCGTTTATATAAACTCATCTTTCGAGTTCCATATATATAACTTTGTTGAGGCAACTATTTATCGTACTTAGAAGTTAGCTCCATGTTTTTTTAGGTAAAAAAAGCATTGGAAGCATGGTTTTGAATTGCGTGTGGTCATTAATTTCGCTCGATTTAGGAAGGAATTTGATGAGCAGTACAAGGTAAGTCCCCTATATATGCTTCAATTTTTGGCCATACATGCCTTGTGATTATTCCGTAAGAAAAATCAGGACGAGTGAGTTCCTTAAGAAAAATGACTTTATTATGAAATGTCATACTTTTTTCTCTGCTATTTTTTAAAGTAGGACATTTTAATATGAAAATATGTATATTTATTGAAAAAGTATGGATGTCTAATGGTTTGACATATATGATAGCAACATATTTTTTCTTACTTTGGGATATTTTATCCTGAGTTCATCACGTGAAATGGATTTCTTCATGGGTATGTACTGATAATACATCAAGTTCGGGATCCCAAGCACGTCTAATTCATACGTGCTGTTTTGCTATTGAGTTATCGAATGATATGATTTGTGAAACTATCCACAATTATTCTCATATGTTGGTATGTGTCCTAAAATAAACATATCTGGAATAGAGGCCTATAAAGGAGCTGAGCCGAGCTCGAGCCCTTGACTAGCTCAGTCAAGCTCGGCTCGTTATATAAACAAGCTTGAAATCGAGTTCGACTCGTTTATCACTAATAACGAGCAGAGTTCGACCTTAACGAGGCGAATCGAGCTTTAACTCGCCGAGTAGGTTCTTTATTCCTCCGCACACAAATTATAATATCAGTACATTGATTAGTTTCTCAAGGAAAAATTACATATATCAATAGACGTAATTAATATATACGGACAACATTTGCCTGTCAATCATCATCAAGAATTTTAATGAACTTCATATATGTAGTACGATCAGCCAGGACAACACTTAATTATTTCATGTCTTTAGGTTATTGGACAAATCCTGCATAAAAACAAATAATGATGAGTATTTATACCAAATATTTGGTGTTGCAAAATATGCTCCGCAGTTTGGGACAATTGGACAAAATTTTGTACAATTAATTTTGCCAAAATGTTAATTGTATTTGATATAAATGAGTTCAATATATGGTCAGAAAATGCAAAACTATTCGCTAATTAAAAAATGTCTACTAACATAACTATTTAGTTACTAGTAGAGCTCTACACGAACCAAACGCTTGCGAACATAAGTTCGTTAGAGTTCGACTAAAGTTTGTTCGTTTGTTAATCGAGCCGAATTTGAACAGAAGATTAGTATCGTTAAATAATCAAGCGAACACAAGCTCGTTCGCGAACATTCGGTAATGTTCTCGAACATTAATTTAATATAATTTTAATTTAATCTTTTTATTTTCAAATTATTAGAATATTCACTTGTGAGTTGTCCATATCGTTTATATAAGAAAATAAATCTAATTTATAAGTCTAATGGGCTACTCCTTATTCTACCAATTGGTTTTGGGATGAAACCTCACTTGGGCTTCATTGGGCTTTCCCTACTTATGGTGTGTTCCACGTGCGTGGGACCGCACCCGTTTCCCCTGTTTCTAACATATATAATATTTTTTATAAAAAAATCTAAAATATAAAAATATTTTTTATTTTAACGAACAAATTTTGAGTTAATCAAATATTTATAAAGTTTATGTATTAAATTATTCAAACACGAACGAACTCGAACTTTGACGAACAATTAAACGAATGAGTTCGAACACGATTTTTTGCTCGAAAAATACGAACGAACACGAACATTGTTCGAACATAAAGGAACAAGAGCTCGAGCAGTCCAGCTCAATTCAGTTCGGTTCGTTCACATCACTAGTTATTAGAAATATCTCCAATTGCGACATTTAACGGACAAATTTATCATATGCCATTACTTATTGGACATGTTATGTATTTTTATTCCAATGAAAATAAATATATATTATGAATATATTCATGAAATTAAGGATGTATTTGGTACGTCATGATGTCACTACATAGTACATGCATGGGAAAAATTGACAGTTTTTGCAAAAGTTCATGTGTTTGTTAAAGAGTTCACTCAAACTAAATTAATTCTACTCTAAATCTAACTCAACACTCACTATAATAACAATTAATCATTTTTACGCATCATATCAACGTTAATTCAATATTCATCTACTCACATAATTTTAACTAATCATCACTTCATATCATCTTTATCATACTTTCACTTCAAACCAATTTTAATTATTTTATTATAAACATTCTTTTTTATAAACATTATTTTAATATAAACTCAAAATCTACTAAAGTATGGAGACTCCTATTACCAAAATATAGTTCAATTCCATGATTTTTGTTTGTATATTATCAAGTTGTAATTTTCTTGTAATTTTCCCTTAGCTTGCCCATGTAGGGGCCTCTTTCCAAACTAAAAGGCCTTTTTGTTCCCATTAACGATTTGATCAACACACATTCATATAGTTATATAACGTATGTATGTGATTCAGACTGATAAAAACCCTGCTCACAGTGTTAGAATCGAACTTACCCCGATAAACAAAGTAAAATCGTTCAAGTTATGACATGAAATTAAAAGTTATCGTCTTAATTAGTTGAACGATGCAAAGTAGTTGTAAACTACAATTTTAGCAGATCGGATCGGATCAGATCAGATCTCCTGTCTCACTTCCATGTCTACAAAATATGATATCATCGGTCACAATTACAAGTGCCAATCATTAGATAGAACGAAATAGCGAATTCAAATACAAAAGTGGAATAGAAAATATCATTCCTCGATTTTTAGAGGGGATTTATTTTTATTTTTTTTCAAATGATAGGATTATATAACTAAAACACATGATTACAATCTAGAAATAGCCATTAGCAGCTGAATCGAGCAACTTTTTAGTTGAATCTAGTGAGAGGACATCTCAAAGGGAAGCCTAGACACCACAACGCAAGCACGATAATAGATAAACTTTCAACAGAAGAATAACCTCTACCAGAGGGGGCAAGTTAGGAAAGGGTCTTTGAATATATATGGTGGAGCCAAAGCCTAACCAAGTCAAATGTACTATAAGAAATGAACAACAAACATGGAATCTAACAAACTCTTGCATGAGGCTAGAAAATAGAAAGCGTGGCTTGATGCATGCAAGGCATTATTACTACTTTTAGGTTTTCATGCATGGATCACCACTACAATTTTTTACAACAAACTACCTCGATTTTCTCGGACGCCCTATAATTTACCGCCACGTGTCGTTCGGTACTTGGGGAAGGGCACCCGGCCGCTTTCTATGTAGCTTATGTCCTCGACAAGAATCTCGTAATGCTTCTTGACCTCGTCTGGGCTCCGGCCTCCGATAGCCCGAGCAACATTGGCCCAACGGTCGGGCGTGTCCTTGTCGAACACGGCTAAGGCCTTCTCGAATGCCTTGTTCTCTTGAATCGTCCACTTCCCGCTACTGCTGCCCGACGAGCCTTGCGCCATGAATTTTATTATTATTATTTATTTTATTTATCTTTTTTTTTTTTTAAATCTGACTATTTTTTTGGGATGGATATGAGTAGAATAGTAAGTATTGGGAAAAAATATGGAGGTTATTTATAGATGTTGAAGAGGTGAAGATGGTGTGGGGACAAAGGCTAGTTGGGATATGAGTAGAATAGTAAGTATTTGCAAAATTTGAAATTTTATTTATTTATTAATTTATTTATTTTCAAGTGATTTGTCTGCTTAAGAGCCACAATTGAGAAAGGACAAAGCCAATCTCACACCAATCTTTGAAAGAATATGTATGAGAATATATTATATCTATATCCCCTGTTTATGAAAATACTGTATATCTACTCATGTGAATGAAATGAAGTTAGTTAATTAAGTATGTTCTTGTTTTAATTAATTAGTTCTTGCCTATTGTTTTTGCTTGGTTAATGATCATTTGGGTCACAAATAATGTTTTTATTCATCACTTGGATGTGAATGAATTAATTATTAATTGAGGGAGATTGTTAAATGAGTCCTTGAATTTCTCATTTGTTTGAAATGTCTTTCTAGGCCTTCTAGACACAATCATACATATATTTATTATTTATATATATATATATATATATTTTAACAATAATATTAGTAAAAGTGTGACATTCAATAAATAAGAGATTCTATTGTCTCGTTACGGAACTATTCCGTTGGGTTTGTAGCCGTTAGATCAACTATTCACGACGATTACATCATGATCTACAGTTACAAATCCCGACACAATGATTCCGTATCGGGACTGTAGCATTTTCCTAATAAATATACATTTTTCTATTAATTAAGAAGTATAATAAGTCGACCTGTCTGAACGTACGTAGGCTGACCCACGACGCGATCTCTTGTGATCCTTTGGTTTTTTAGTATGCAGAAAGATCTTTAGCTCATAAAAATTTATGCAAAAAAAAATCTGTTGGCTAGCACATAAGAAAATTTAGGCTACAGACAGCTAGTTGGTTGAGTTCAATGTCACATGTTGCAATCAATTAATGCAATATTTTTTGTATTTTTTTTATTATTATTTTTTTTTTTTATTTGGGGCAGTAAAGATTATGACCATGCCTTCATTTCTGTCTTCACCCAGGAGTAAAAATTGACATGGGCAAATCAAGGAACAGAAAAAGGAAAACTTGCATTAATATATAGCTTTAAAATTTAATATTGGATGATTTCAAAACCTACCCTTTGTTTGCCTATTTATGTAAATATTAATTAACAACCAAAAACTACAAAAAAAAAGGTAAATAATTTGTTTACGGTTTCAGCTCCTTCACTAATTAGACAGTCATACTTTTTCAACATATACACGTATTTTCAAAACAGTACTTTAAAAAGCAGCTTAAACGAAAAGCGAAAAACAGACAATTCATATCATAAGTGCAGAGTTTTTTTTTCAGAAAGTATGATGGGTCGACCTGCCGAACCGTTAGAAAGTAGATGGATCTCAAACAACAACAATAATAAAGACACATCATCATGAGGGGCCAAAAAAACCTATTCAACATGGAGTGGGGAAAGAGTTTTATAGAGTAGCAACAATATAATATCCCAATGGTATTTGCATGAAAGATAACAATATTCCTCAAAGACCTGTGTGCCTTGCACTTTGATTATATAGCTGGCCAGATGTTAAAATAAGGACAATGATTGTGTTAGATTTTTCTAATAGAGAAAGGATCGACACGGGTAGCTAGTCGATCGCAAGTTTGTTTGGTTTTTTTTTTTCCTTTTCGCGTTTTCGCCTTTCTTTCTCACGTTCATTGCGAAAAAATGTCGAAATCCGAGCTGTTTGATTTTTTGTTTGGACATGGTTTTGTTGCAAGGGGGGCCTGTTTTTCTGGTTTTCATATCTTCCAAAAGGATGTGAAGATTATAATTGTGGCACTCAAAAGTGTTCGTACGTTTTAGCAGTAAATAGGGTTGTGATTCTCATGCAGGATGTGAATGTGTATGTGCATGGGGTTGTGTATTAGTTGAGACACACAAAAGAGAGAAGGAAAAGAGAAAAATTAATTCTTTCTATTTATTATTTTCACCAAAGTTAGTTGAGGGAAAGGGAAAAATTGGAGAATTATTCCGACGTCAAATTGATGAATAATCCGGTGGTTGCGTTGATTTTACAAAGCGCCTTGTAATTTTATTATTGATTATAATTCTTTCTAGTTAAGTGTGTTAGGGTCCATGCAATTATATTATCGATTGCGACTTTAACTTTTTTCGACCGTTGTACTATAGGTCTAACCATTAGACAGTTTGAAGAATATGCATATTTTGATGCATTAATGACATACATTAAAAAATTAGACAAACAAAAGTATGACATTTTTTCAATATATGTATGTGTTTTTGTTCGAATAATATGACTGGTCGACAAACTGTCAGACTGGCTCACAAGAAGTTGTGCTTTTGTGGATATTAATTTGTCGGGAGTTGGATTGAAATTATTTGAATCATGTTATAATAAAATAATAGTTGGCATAAAATTTGACATAACACACACATAACAACTAGTTGATGATTCATCACATCAATGTTAAAACCAACCATTTTAGCTTGGATTGTTTGGGCGTTGGATGTTCTTGTCTGGCGGCGAGGGCGTTAGTTTAGGTTGTGTTTGTGTTTAGCTGTTTTGTTTTGTCAGTGTGTTTTTGATTTCTTTGTTTGATTCTGTGTTTTTGTTTTGTGTTGGATTTTATTCTTCTGTTGGGAGTTATTTTTCTTCTATTGTTGGAAGCTTTTTGTTGTTAATTAGTATTGTTGTTATGTGTTTAGGCTGATTCTGGGCTGCCTCGTGCTAGACGTCTATGAGGTTAGTCCCCCCAATTAAATTCAGTTGGCTGTTGATTTATTTAGCTACTTAGTTGCTTTCTAGTTTGTAATTATGTGTATTTCTTCAATTAAAGTCTATCATTTAAAAAAAAAAACAACCATTTTTATACTTACACATTATGTCAAAAATTATGTTAAAATTCCTTTATTCAATTAATTTTTGTGCTGACCAGAAATTAAATATGCATATAAAAGAAAATTTAAAAAAAAATATAGGAGTATAATGAAATACTTTATTGAATAATATAAAAACATACATTTCAGTATAAGTATGATTTTTTAAAAAGAAAAGTATGACTGATAGATTTGCTGATTCACATAAAAAAAATAATTAAGCATATATATGGGCGTGAATGTGATTGTAACACGCACAATTTATTTGCAGTATGGTCCTTTTCACAAGTTGTAGAATCTAAAGGGACCACATATAATAACAGTTTGGATACCCAAAAAGGCACAATATATAATATAATTTTTTATTACTATTATGGAAATATGCAAATTCAATAACTCTCCTAATAATATTCAATTTAAGCATTCATAAGAATGAGTAATCATAAAATTTTAACGGTAGTATATTCCAATAAAATATTAATAGCAATTTCAATGAATATTTTCAATGTTATAACGATTTTTCGTTGAAAATTTCCAATTTAAGTATTGCTACTTTAAATTTCAGTTGGATGTTAACGATTTCAGCTAAAGTTTTTTTTCCAACGGTGGGAAAAATAATTCAGAAAAAAAAAAATTTAATTTGAAATGAAAATTTTAGTTGTCTCGCTTGAAATATCCGTTGAAATATTTAAATAAAAAGGCAAAATTGTATTTTTAGCCCTGCCGGTTTAATACTGTAGCATTTTTAGTTCTAAAATTTTAACTTTTTGTCTTTTGATTATGCAATTTAGTATTTTGCTGCAATTTTAGTCTTTTGGGACTGCAATTACAACAAAATTTAAAATTACAGGACTTAAATTGCTAACAAAAAAATCATCCAAAATATTTTTTTTAGCAACTTAACTCCTGTAATTTTAAATTTTGTTGCATTTTCAGTTCCAAAAGGACTTAAATTGCAATGAATTTTAAAATCATATGACCAAATAGCAAAAATGTTAAATTTTTAGGACTAAAAACGCCACTGAATCAAACCAATATGACTAAAATTACAATTTTGTCAAATAAAAATTATAAAATTGAAATACATGTAGAAATTTTTATCGGTATATAATTTCATTGGATTTTCGATTAGAATTTGATATTGTTTTCATTATGTGCCTCTTTGTAGTGCTAAATTAATTACCAGAATTGTGCTGTTCATTGTATATATAAAAAAATAAAAAAAAAAATAAAAAAATAAAAAAATAAGATAGGTCAGGATTAATTAACATGACAATTCCACACTTTTCAATAAAAATATAAATATATTTGCCAAGAATATTGTTAAATTCAGAAATTGTTAAAGTTTGTCCTATTTTTTGGGTTGAACTAATTAACTTTTTAAGTATAGGACATATCTCGTAACAATTAGGCCAAAAAGATATATAAATATTCCCTACGAATATGAGCAACTTTTTTGCCATATCAAGTATGAGTCGTGGGAGTTCTATTTTCGTTGCACATTAGCTTCCACAAGCTGAGATAATTTTTTTGTGGGTTGTGTTCAATTTCATAAGATTTTATTCGAATCGAATCGAAGCTCACCAAAAAATAAAAAAAAAATAAAAACAATAACAAAAGTAATTTGTTAGAATGTCACTTGTGAGTTGTCTCACGTCGTTCATACATTGAAAATAGATCCACCTTGTAAGTCTAATGGTTTACTCCTCTTTCTACCCATTAGTTTTGGGATGAACCCCACTTGGGCTTCATATGGGCTTTCCCCGCTTATGGTGCGCTTCATGTTAGTGGGACCGCACTTGTTTTCCTTCAATTTCTTACATGGTATCAGAGTCGGTTCCATTGGGACCGTGCGATAACGTACCCGTTTATGAGAGTCTGCTTCCCCACGTACCCGTTTATGGGAGTCTGCTTCTAGTAAACTTGGGGCACCCAACCCAGTTGGACTTGGGCTTCCGGCTACAACATAAATGGTTTTAGGTAGCATCATTTATTGTAATACTTTAGACAAT